TAAACAATAAGGTTGGTTCAGTAGGATCAGCAATGTAAATACATGATTGAAAAGCACCACCCACATAACCCAGGTACACACCATTCAAAATAATGATCAACCTATAATCAAAGTCCCACCCACGTGTACCGGGTGCACAGCATTCCAAATAAGAAGGGCAAACCTATAATCAAAGCCCTATCCATGTGTGCCAATAAGCAGTCATAGATCCAGTATTCTATTAGGTATTAGGAAGTGAACTTGGAGGAACTGTGCATTCTCAGATCTTGAATACACACGCTCATGCCTAGTTAGTACCACACATTAGTCCTGCTAACCCAATAGAGCCACCAACTATCCATGTAGATGGCATGCTACTGACCCAATGTGCCATTGGAGGCCCACTAACAGATCACTATGGTTTTGGTTCTGACACAACGGAAGCAATTTTACTCCAACCGAATATGTAACAAAAAAGTCTATGATGGAACTGAGGGGGTAAACAGGGCTGAGACTCCCACCAGTGCCAGGCTGGTGGTACAGGAACTCAGCATACCAATGGTTGGAGGCCGGTGAAGAGGATGCTGGTCCGAGAATGGGAAACAGAGTACACACTGCAATACAAAACAATTGAAACTCCACAGGCACCGGGATTTACATGATTGTGTCTTTTTAGAGCCTGATCTCAGTCCAGGAAGTAGATGGTGATCCATCCTAGATGATGCCTGAACAAAGATGGCACCGTCCTTCTGGAGGGAAAAGCATATGAAGGCATTGTCAGAGGGAGAACTCCGATCTCTGTGAAAGGTAACAAATACCTGAAGTGTTAAACTGACACATTACCGAGCACGCATGCAGTTAATATAAAATAACGATATCTCCACTCAAACTATGGTGAACCTGAAATGCTTTTGGGGATTGCTGAGCATCATAAGGTACCAGGACGGGTGAGGTACAAGCACACCCAGTCACTGCTCTGTATGGTCGGTACGGAGTTACTCTGAACATCACATGTCATGACGATGTGTTCTCAGGTTCTTAAGTGGAACCACACAAATAGAAACAGACGATTCATACATCCTGTAATGGCTGAACTGAACTTTGTCGCCCTTGAAGCCCGGCTCTGTTTGTACAGGAAAGCACTAATTGCTTGTTTGCTGCGTGTTGACATATTTATGAAATCACCTCGCCCACGTGGTGGGTCACCGGCTTGTGTCTGCACACAATTCACTCTTCTAAAAACAACAGACTTCTTTGCAGACGAAATCAGTGCTGGGACTTAAACGTGCCACTTGGACAGACAATGTATCCCAATACAGAGGGGAATATACAGGAAAAACTAAAGACACTCTACACTGGGATTAGACCAAGCTACAGAATAGGAGGGCAAAACAGAGTGGACAAGGTGCATGCTCCATGAGAATCAGTGTTGGCAGCCTTGTAGTCACTACCTTGTTGGCCATATAGACCCCTACGGTACCATGCGGCCCTTTCAGACCCCAGTGGTGGGAGAGGGAGCATTGATTTGCAAAGGGACTATGATGACAATGATCTCCAACAAGACCACATAACACGTCTGCAGTCTCCGACCACCGCCTCCAACACGTCTGCAGTCTCCGACCACCGCCTCCAACACGTCTGCAGTCTCTGATCATGTCCTCTAGTATTCCTGCAATCTATGACAGTCTGCTGTAGCATTACATATACCGATGGGCGGCCCCATCCAACCTTTGGGCCCCCGGTACCTTAGAAATTGACACCCTCTTCTAGACTTCTAGCACTGAGCTGTAGACCCATTCCCACCCCCTGCTTATGTTCCACTATATAGCATTGGCCAGCAGGTAACCTGAGAAATGAGCACTCCCCTGCTCTTCACTTACTATTGGCAGATCCTTGTGTCACTCATATGTCACTGCTGGACTACTCTGCTGCAGCCCTAATGTAATACTCATAGTCATTGGCAGACCTGGCAGCTATGTTTGCAACTATTTCAGAGACACCGCTGAGTAAAAAAACATCACAGCTCCACTTTTATGGTGACAGTCTCTTTTTATATTAATTCTCAACCTTTAGGAGGGAAGTAGGTATGCGGACCATTACCAGTCCTTTGCTGGATGACCTCCATTTCCCCTTCCTGTGACACCTCACATACTCAGAATTGCGCAGTTGGTATTTTTTAGCAGAGCGGTGAGGGTCTGGAAAGTTTACTTGTGATTTGTTTATCTCCTCATTCTTTCCACACAGATGCATTGTCTGCTGAGCTTTGCATGTTCCGTTTATTACACCCAGGGGAAAAATATTCAAATGTCCCCTTATCCTTCCTGGCAGGCTTGCCCAGAGCCTAATGGCCATCCAACCAGAGGGGACATTAAGTCACATGACTTATGAAAATTGTGGCCGTTTCTGGCCACGATAACTCCTCTTCCTGTATTCAGAATATCCTGTTCTGTTTTATCCTTAAAAAAAAAAATCTCTAAGCACCATTTGCATATAACCTGACCGCATAGTCGCTCCGATGTCATTTCAGAAGACAGAACAGAAGTTATCTGCACAACAAATGCAGCTGGATTGAGTAAAAGCCCAACTGGATTTCCAGGTTAAAGGGTTAGTTCACCTTTTCACTAAAAATGACATGAACCAACTTGCAACACCCTCTCCACCAGGGCCGTCCCATTAATGAAGTAGCATCAGGCTGTTGCCTCAGGCGGCATCTCTTTGGGTCATATGGGGGGGGGGGGGCGGCGGCAGGCAGAGCAGCATGGCCACAATGTTTGCAGAATGCCTGCCGCCCCCTTTTCAGCCAGAGTGTCCCAGGTTGCTGACAGCTAACTGCTCTTAGCAACCTTGAAGACTCTGGTCAGCGTGCCGCCCAGCTCCTGGCAGCCGATGACCTCATTGGTTGTGAGGAGCTGAGCGAGACACTCTGGTCAGTGTCCCGCCCAGATGTTGGCAGCCAATGACACCACTGTTTGCCAGAAGATAAACGGGACACTCTGGCCAGCCCCTACCAAACCTGCACCTCCAGGGGGGTTGCTTTCTGTGGTGAACCATTGGGGAAAGACCACTGGTTTACCACAGAAAGCAATGGTCCTCGTCTGGCAAGGGACAGGCTTTTCTACTCTGGCTGTGACTCCTTTCTAAAGAAAACAACTTTGGTTGCTGCACCTCTAATGTACTTAGTAGATTTAAACTGAAAAGTCATTTGAGTTATAACCTTCTATACAAAAAGGCACCGTACTGTCCATGGGGTCCCTGTACCAAGAGCAGCTCCCCACATGAAAAATACTGAAGTTTAAGTCCAGCCAAAACATTTTAGTTTTGGATACAACTAGGAACAGCAAGATCATCATTCAGCTGTCTGTGCCATCATTGAGGACATTTTCCTGTCCTGCTGAAACCTTATAAACAGGAAGTGAAGACATTATTTGGGGGAGTAAATACCCGTTTAAGAAGCTGGCAGGGGTTCCATCTCACAAAAAAAGTTGGGATGGTGCACCAAGTATATACTGTAACAAGACTGCTCAAAAGTCCCCAGTCTGCTGCTCTAAATAGAAACCAGGAGATCTTCTTCCCAGCCATGGGGATAACACAATGAATGTGCAACACCTTTCATGAAGTATTACTTTGTAGCAGTCTGTCAGTAGCATTAACATAGCAGTCTTTGATTGTTTGAGTTTACTCTGGAACAGTTTTATTACCCGTTTACCCTGGTAAAGGAAGTTTTATTAAGACTTTCTAGCAGGATGAACTGTCCAAGAAAAGTGTCAGTTCAGACAAACCATTTACCACTGACAGGGATGCTTACAATGGTCCAATGTTAATTCATTTTAGGTATAAGCTTTATCCCCCCAACAAACTGTTGCTGAGAGAACTATTGGGAGAGTAAAATGTACTCTTCCCAATAGTCTGAGCCAGCATGCAACACTGCAGCTGTCACATATTGGCTCTATAGCTTGAGAACAGGGCGATCACAAACTGCTGATCGCTCAGTTCACAACCTTCTCCACGAAGAGAGCAGTAACCGTCAGTCACCGCTCCCCACAGGGATTCCCACCTCTCCTCTCCATTCCTTCAGTGCTCATTGGAGGGACAGACAGGGGATGGGGCAGGCACAGCTTGCTCTGGCTCTAGAGAGGCAGAGCTAGCTGACAGGCAGCAGAGTGGATCCCGACAATATTGTTGGGTTCCTTCTCAGCAGGAGCATGGCTCTGCTGACTTTGGTTCACAGGCGTACTAGTAAATGTACCCGTGACCAGGGCCGGATTCCCCACAAGGCCATGGCCTCGGGGCAGCAGGGGGGTAGAGGGGCGGCACAGAGGGGCCGATATGGGGCATTTTCAGGAGTATTTGTACTTCTGAAAATCCCCCCCGATACTAAAAGGCAGATACTGGTCCTTTACATTTTTTAGGAAGTTCAGCTGCCTGAGGTCCTGAGCTTGCCATTTTTGGTAGTGCCAGTCCAGCTGCACATTGCCGCCCCCTCCTCTTTCCCGACACCCAGTAGCTGCATGCAGAGCCCTGCCGAGACCTGCACGCAGCCCTACTGAGTGTGGCAGGGAAGGGGGCGCGCATTGAGGAACCTGGCTTTGGGGCAGCAGAGGGTAAATACTGGCCTTGGGGTAGCAGAGCGAGTAAAAAAGTTTGGCTATAGTCCTCTTTTAATTTGTTACTTATGTTAAGTCCATCGAACACCCCCCTCTCCACAGGTTAACAACGCTGCTGTCCAAGGGTGGCTCCCTTCATCCTTCTACCCATCCATCCAACTGCATTTGTTTTGTTTGATTTGAACCATAAATCTGAAAATATTCACCAGGAATGTCTTGGTGTCCCCTCTTTATGTCAGACACTGCGATTCACATCCTTGCTTAATAGACGCAGTAAGAGCCAGTCACAGCCTAAACTGTAGGTTACCAGTGTTCATAGATCTGAATTTACCAGCTTCAGACAGTTTTTCGTTCTATCTTTTTAATGCCTGACATCCTCCAGCCTGGTGACAAGGCCAGGTTATTGCGGACACTCACCTGATCTGGATCTGAAGATTGGCAGATGATTCACCAGCTTCACTCAGCACTTTGTCTTGATGGCTAATAAGTCTCTTGAGACTCGGGGATGCTGAGCGATCCTTCAATCTACGTCGGAGATATTTCACACCCAATTCAAGAGACAGCGCATCTGAAATGGACACGAGAGCTTAGAAAGCAGCTGAACGAGACATTGCTGGCAAACACGAAAAGTCTGCATTTAAAGAGGAACTTCTATCCAGCAGCGAAAAATGTTTCAGTTCATTTGGGGCAAGTCAAAACCCAGGTTCTTGAAGCACATTCTATATTCTTCTAAACTCCTTGGTGGACTGGAAGTTCCTAATATTCAGAACTATTATTTGGCAGCGAATATCACACCTCTTTGTTATTCACGCACCCTCAGACTTACCGTTATGGGCTATGATTGAATGTCACACATTACCCTTAGCTTCGGTTCCATGGCTTCCTTCAAAACTTCATCCCAAGGAACTAAACCCTGTCCTTCGACATACGCTACGTATATGGGACTCGACCAAGCTTTCAGGTGGTCTAGCTTCTCTGTATCTCCCCTAACTAAAACTATTCCCCTCTCTTTTGTTCCCTCCTGGTAAAGATAGTCTTGCCAATAGTATCTAGACTTTGGGTTCAAGTCCATCACTTTATTCATACATTATTGCATACTAATTTGCATAAAGAGGAACTTCACCCACTGGATTTTTTTTTTCCTTTTCTCCTCTTACCTTGTCTCCTGGGTTATCCTCAAAACACATACTCACACATGCAGAGAATCCAGCGTGGCCAATCTTTAACCTGCAGAAGGCTTGCCGGGTCCTCTGCCGCTTTGCTTACATTGGGAGCAGGCTGGCTCTTCCAGGTTCTTGCAGCAGGCCACTTGATGGCATGTGCAGTTGGCTCTAGGTCACCCTGAAGTCTCCTGGGATGTGTGACGCAAATATGTTAGGGGGCTTTGGGTAAGCTTGGGATGGTATTCTTGCGGAGGTGAGAGAGGTGGAATTGCACAGATAAAACGCATCCAATAATTTTATCTGCAATTTCGCATGCG